TCCTTGAAGAGGTCCTTCACATCCCTTGTAAGTTGTATTTCTAGGTATTTTATTCTCTTTGTAGCAATTGTGAATGGGAGTTCACTCATGATTTGGCTGTCTGTTGTTGGTGTATAGGAATGCTTGTGATTTTTGCACGTTGATTTTGTATCCTGAAACTTTGCTGAAGTTGCTTATCAGCTTAAGGAGATTTTGAGCTGAGATGATGGGGTTTTCTAAATATACAATCATGTCGTCTGCAAATAGAGACAACTTGACTTCCTCCTTTCCTAATTGAATACCCTTTATTTCTTTTTCTTGCCTGAATGCCTTGGCCAGAACTTCTAATACTATGTTGAACAGGAGTGGTGAGAGAGGGCATCCTTGTCTTATACTGGTTTTCAAAGGGAATGCTTCCAGTTTTTGTCCATTCATTATGATACTGGCTGTGGGTTTATCATAAATAGCTCTTATTATTTTGAGATATGTTCCATCAATATCTAGTTTATTGAGAGTTTTTAGCATGATGTACTGTTGAATTTTGTTGAAGGCCTTTTCTGCATCTATTGAGATAATCATGTGGGTTTTGTCATTGGTTCTGTTTATATGATGGATTACATCTATTGATTTGCATATGTTGAACCAGACTTGCATCCCAGGGACGAAGCCAACTTGATCATGGTGGATAAGCTTTTTGATGTGCTGCTGGATTCTGTTTGCCAGTATTTTATTAAGGATTTTTCCATAGATATTCATCAGGGATATTGGCCTGAAATTTTCTTTTTTTGTTGTGTCTCTGCCAGGTTTTGGTAACAGGATGATGCTGGCATCATAAAACGAGTTAGGGAGGGTTCCCTCTTTTTTTATTGTTTGGATAGTTTCAGAAGGAATGGTACCTCTTTGTGCCTTTGGTAGAATTCAGCTGTGAATCCATCTGGTTCTGGACTTTTTTGGTTAGTAGACTGTTAATTGCTGCCTCAATTGCAGAACTTGTTATTGGTCTATTCAGGGATTCGACTTCATATTGATTTAGTCTTGGGAGGCTGTATGTGTCCAGGAATTTATCCATTTCTTCTAGATTTTCTAGTTTATTTGTGTAGAAGTGTTTATAGTATTCTCTGATGGTAGTTTGTAGGTTTGTGGGATCAGTGGTGATATCCCTTTATCATTTTTTATTGTGTCTATTTTATTCTTCTCTTTTCTTCTTTATTCGTCTGGCTAGCAGTCTGTCTATTTTGTTAATCTTTTTTTTAAAAACCAGCTCTGTTGGCCAGGCTGGAGTGCAGTGGCACAATCTTGGCTCACTGCCACTTCCATTTCTTGGGTTCAAGCCATTCTGCTGCCTCAGTCTCCCAAGCAGCTGAAATTACAGGCATGGCCACCACGCCTAGGCAATTTTTCTATTTTTAGTAGAGATGGGGTTTCACCATACTGGCCAGGCTGGTCTTGAATTCCTGGCCTTGTGATCTGCTCACCTTGACCTCCTGAAGTGCTGGGATTACAGGCATGAGCCACTGTGTGCAGCCTTAAAATTGTACTTCTATGACTAATAGTTTGCACTAACATTTCTCATTATGTTCTGCTAACTTTTTATCATTTTTTGTTTTGTTTTGAGATGGAGTCTTGCTCTGTTGCCCAGACTGGAGTACAGTAGCATGATCTTGGCTCACTGCAACCTCCACTTCCTGGGTTCAATTGATTCTCCTACTTCAGCCTCCTGAGTTGCTGGGATTACGGAGGTGCACAACTATGCCTGGCTAATTTTTGTATTTTAATAGAGATGGGGGTTTCACCGTGTTGGCCAGGCTGGTGTCAAAATCCTGATGTTTAGCGATTCACACACCTTGGCCTCCAAAGTGCTGGGATTACAGGGGTGAGCTACTAGACCCGGCCACTTTCCATTTTTTCTTTTAATTCCTTTTGGGGGTGCTCAACTCTTCTTGGTGGCAGCAAAAAAGCAAAGAAAAATAATAGAAAAAGACTCCAAGTAGCAGGCTGACATCATTTTTTTTTTTTTTTTTTTTGAGACAGAGTTTCGCTCTTGTTACCCAGGCTGAAGTGCAATGGCGCGATCTCGGCTCACCGCAACCTCCGCCTCCTGGGTTCAGGCAATTCTCCTGCCTCAGCTTCCTGAGCAGCTGGGATTACAGGCACGTGCCACCATGCCCAGCTAATTTTTTGTATTTTTAGTAGAGACGGGGTTTCACCATGTTGACCAGGATGGTTTCGATCTCTTGACCTCGTGATCCACCTGCCTCAGTCTCCCAAAGTGCTAGGATTACAGGCTTGAGCCACCGCGCCCAGCACAAGCTGACATCATTAATGAAAACTCTAGCTAGTTTATAAGACCCACTATTTTGAGCAAATTCCCTCTACGTTTCCAAGCCCACAACTTTTTTCTGAGCACACTGACCACTAGAACATGTGTGTCAATGTGAATTCACAAAACATTTATTATTTGCATTAACCACATCTTTATTAGCAGGAAAATCAAGAGGAATGCAGCTCTGAAGAAATTTCTTAAGTTTTATAACAAGCCAAGAGCAGTGCTTTGTGATTTCAAATTATAATCTACGTCTCAGATCTCTTACAAACTCCTCCCTATGCCTTCCCTTAAGGTAGAAAAAGCTATATGGCACATGGCTCTGGCTCTAATTACTCTTGTTTGCATAGGAATATTCTATTCTAAAATAATTAACTTGATAAATAATTGATGTCACTGAGAATGGATATAGTTTAATCTAATTGTACCATCAGCTTCATTAATGTGAACTCCACTAAACACTGCAATCTCTCCTTATCTTTATCTGTTTTCCTCCAATTTCAATTTGTTACTATACTTTTATTATAACTAAATAATAATATATTTCCCTATTCCAAAAAGATTTCCTTTTTGAACAATAATACTTGACTATTTAGTATATTCTTTACCATTTGCTTATTGGTATGTGGGCTATTTATATATTAAATTTTTTTATTACATGTTATGTGGGTTACCAGATCTTTTTCATATTTTGTTTCTTTCAGACTTGACTAGAGATATCGATCCACCCATCTATGAATAGACATAATTATTTTTTCTACGTATATATCTTCTATTAATCTACACTTTTATTAATCTAAGTATTTTTTATTAGAAAATGCATATCTTCCAAATATCTTCTCTATATCTCTATTAACAGAATATACATAGATTAATGGAAGATATATATCTTCTATTAATAGCTATAGAGACATAAATGATATACCTTCTATTAATCTTTTTTCTTAAGAATTTTTGCCTTGGGTGACACGTTTTAGAAAGGTATCTCATCCAGAGATCAGGTATGTAAATTCACTCATTCTTTTAAAGGATCTTATGCCTTTTTGTTTTATGGTAAATGTCAGCTTTATTTATGTGTGTATTTATATGTTTAGCTAATGAAAACTTTTAAATTCAAACAAAAAAAATTATTGGGGCAATACATTAAAGCTGACATGAGAAATGAGGACTTTCAGACAGTCCTTTGTCCTATTGATGGCATTCTTCTCTTTCACATTTACTTACTTTCCCTGGATGACATCATCATCACTTACAGCTACTACATTCACATTGATGATGACCAAATCCAAATTTCCAGTCCAACATGTAAAGTAATTCTTCCAGGCATGAGAAATAGAAGAGAGTCAGAGTCAGGGGAAATGAAATGAGACCCAGGGGCAAAAGAACTGAAGGGAAAAGATGAATGTTGTGAATGTTGGGCTGGCACTGTCATTCAGCTTCATTTCATTAATCTTCTGTTTGGTCTGGCCAAGGTCAATGTGATTCCAGCTTTAAACTCCTGCTGCAAGAAACATGAAAGCTATCTGGAACCACAAAATAAAAAAACTGCAGGAAGGACTGAGGAAAGAAAATATTCATGGTTTCTTCTCGAAATATGCACTGGATGGGAAATCGGCAATCAGGATTTCCATAATGATTAAAGAATATACACCTACTTACCTGTCATAATTCATGAACTGAAATAGAGGGAAAAATGTGTTCAAGAGTCATTTCCATCTGAGTATGTCTTGTATATCTACTTTTTTCATAAAGAGATTGCTATATTTGCCACTATTTAAAGAAAAATTATCTTCTATTTGAAAATAAAAGCCAGCAAATTTAAAAAAAAAAAAAGAGAGAAGAGAGTTGGGTTCAATTTCCAGAGATAAATCAGTGAAATTTTTAAAAGATTTTCATATTCTTATAAGTTAATTTAAAAGTGAGAGAATTCAGGATACTGGTGTTTGGGGTTGTTTTGTTTTTATTAAATTACTAATCAGTTTAGGATTTCTATGTGTTCTGTGAGAGGAGGCACAGTAGAAATTGACAATTTAAAATGAAGAAAATAGATACCTCAAAAAAGTTAAAAAGGGGCAGAACTAAGATTGGAAATTATGTTTTCAAATTATAACTTTGGTATTCCTTCTACTCCTTTTACCATAAAATTCTAATTTTCTTGGATTTTTGTAATAAGGCCAAATGATAAGCTGGTTATAAACAATTGCAATGGCTTGGTAATATTACAGCATTAAGAGGATAAGGTCGAGGAGACAGGAAAATCATAGCAGGAACAAGTTGTCATCGTACCCATCCATCTGTTTAATCAGAGTGGCTTTGAGCCAAAGAGAGAAGAGGAACTGTAAAAAACTAATGTGTGACACCCAAAATTCCAGAAACATCTTTCCTGGATTATACAAGAAAAAAGATTACTTCTAACCACTCTCTTAAAGGAAGGCATGCAGCAGGTTGTAGAGCTCGAGGGAAGAACATAGACTCTATTATGGGGCAAGTTCCAGCTCTGCCACTTATTATGTGACTTTGAGCTAAGCCACTTATCTAAGCCTTGCTTTCCTCATCTAGACAACGGAGAAAAAGAAAGCAGCTACTTTACAGAGTTTCTCAGAATTAAATTCAAAAATATATTCAATAATCTATGTAAAGCATTTAATAAAGTGCCGGGAACAAGGTAAGCAGAACAATGATGTCTTACCGTGGGTCTTGTCACTGTAAGGGGCACAGATAGTTCCAAGACATTTCTTCATGGTGGCTTTCAGTCCCAGAAACTAATATCCCACTTCTTTCCACTTCTTTGCTCTTCAATCAAAGATTAAATCCTGAAGTTTTCTCCATGATAATAACAAAATTTGAAGACAGAAGAAAGTCTGATTTTATATGCTGTGTAATCTCGAGTCAGCAATTTGATCTTTTTGAACTTCATTCCTTATCTATGAATTGAGACACCAGTAACATCTCATGAAGTTGTTTGGAGGGCTAAATAAAATAGATGGGTAAGAGATGGTTATTTTTGCATTAAAGCCTCTGTAGATTCAAAAAGTCGTACAATATGGGTTGTAATTACTCATCACTCCACATGCATATGTAAAAGTGGCATTACTATCAGCAGAGCCTCACTGTCTTCCCATTATTTTTCAAGGCTTATTTTCCTCATAGGCATTTCCTCTTTCCAAGGAAATTCTGGACTCCTTTATTTTGACCAAAACAGATGACAGGTGAAGAGCCTTTATCTGTTTATTGGACAAAATAGCCCAGGATTCTGAAATACCATGGTGATTCCTGCTCTATGTGCTAACCAGACCATTTCAGCTACTGAGAAGCAGCACCAGTTCACAATCTGTGAACTCCCCAAAGGTATAATATCAATTTCTCATTTTTCTTTGCAACCCTAGCACAACGTCTAACACCAAGAATTAACTCTAAAAAAAAAAAGTAGGTTAGGTGGGCTATGAAAGCCTTTTGTGTCATGACAAGATTCCAGATATGTCTTCAGGAGGTGATAATAAGAAAGTCAAGGCTTTTCAGCATAGAATTAACACAGTCATTTTTGTGTATTAGAAAAATCACTCTGGAAGTTGTGTAGAAGTTTGGAGGAAGTCTGGCCTCGAGGCATGACCTGCATAATCAACATAATCAAGGAAAAGGAAACTAGTCTAAGAATTCCGCCTGCCGGGCGCGGTGGCTCAAGCCTGTAATCCCAGCACTTTGGGAGGCCGAGGCGGGTGGATCACAAGGTCAAGAGATCGAGACCATCCTGGTCAACATGGTGAAACCCCGTCTCTACTAAAAAATACTAAAAATTAGCTGGGCATGGTGGCGTGTGCCTGTAATCCCAGCTACTCAGGAGGCTGAGGCAGGAGAATTGCCTGAACCCAGGAGGTGGAGGTTGCGGTGGGCCGAGATCGCGCCATTACACTCCAGCCTGGGCAACAAGAGCGAAACTCCGTCTCAAAAAAAAAAAAAAAAGAAAAAAGAATTCCGCCTAATTAGGAAGGCAAGTATTTAAAATAATTTTTAAAATACTTTCATCAGGCCGGGCGCGGTGGCTCAAGCCTGTAATCCTAGCACTTTGGGAGGCCGAGACGGGTGGATCACGAGGTCAAGAGATCGAGACCATCCCGGTCAACATAGTGAAACCCCGTCTCTACTAAAAATACAAAAAATTAGCTGGGCATGGTGGCACGTGCCTGTAATCCCAGCTACTCAGGAGGCTGAGGCAGGAGAATTGCCTGAACCCAGGAGGCGGAGGTTGCGGTGAGCCGAGATCGCGCCATTGCACTCCAGCCTGGGTAAAAAGAGCGAAACTCGGTCTCAAAAAAAAAAAAAAAAAATACTTTCATCAATATCCTCAACATCTTATTTAGTTATGTTCAATAATATAATTAATACCTAATAGTTACTGAAAATTAGAAAATATAGAGAGATAAAAGGGGAAAAATTAACTAGCACATGGTACCTCTCAGAAAGAAAACTACATTTTGGAGTACAACTACCTGCAGATTTTTTTCTTGAATGTAATATGCGTGTGTGTGTGTGTGTGTGTGTGTGTGCACGTGTGTAGAGAGAAGAGGCGAGAGAGAGAAGAGAAACTCCGATATGAAAATAAATAAAAACATTTTAAAAATCAGGAAACGTTGAATCTACAGATGGAGGTAGACATATGAGGAAGAATTTTTATAAGATTGAATGTCAACACATACAACCCAAAGTTGGTAAATTGAGAACACCCAGAAGAACTAAAAGTGGACATTATGGGCAGTGGGCCTAGGAGTGGGAATATAGAGGGGCAGAGTTTACTTTAAAAACTATAGCTTGAGATACAATTCACATGCCAGACAATTTACCCCTTTGAAGTGTATATAAATGAATGACTTTTAGTATAGTCACAGAGTTGTGCATCCATCACCACAATCAATTTTTAAGCTTTGCTTCAGCCCAAAAAGAAACTCCACCCAATATAGCTAACACCCTCCAACGCTCACATCTCCCACTCAATGCTAGACAACTTCTAATCTACTTTCTGTCCAAACAGCATTATAAATTCAGGATGTTTCACAGAAATGGACTAACATAATATATGGTCTTTTGTAACTGGCCTCTTTCACTTAGCAAAATCTTTTCAATATTCATACATGTAGTAGTATAAGACTTTAAATTTTTCTGTACTAGTTTACTTGATTTTATATATACCATTGCAATGTCTTGCTTTTATAAATCTTAAAAAATGGAAAAAATATATTTTGTGCATATTATTAAATACCAGTGAGATAATTGCTTTCTACAATCTGTATTTTTCACTTCAAACCATGTGACAAATGAGAGCGATTAAGATCTAGCAAGCCAGGTATTTTGCTAAGTACTTCCATGCATTGTTTTGGTTAATATGCACAAGAAATCTTTGCACTATTATACTTATTTTATAGAAAACCAAGGCATTTCATAGATCACAGAATTAGTAGGTTGTAGGTCGTAGATTTTGAAACCAAGGAGTCCACCTCTAAAACCTGCATTTTTCAGAACAGTAAATATAGATGCCTTGACACTTTTAAATGTATTAGAACTTAGAAATGTAGACCCCAATCATACAAAATAACGGTAGTTACATGAAGCAGCTTCTCTTTGAATAAAACATGATGTTTTTCACATAGTATCAAAAATTTTAACAATCAAAGCCAAAATGAGAAACTATCAGTGATTCAACAGATTGAAAGGACTTTACAGGCTATTTTTAGCTTTCCCACAGTACACTTAAGATATCGTTTCAATGTAATGGCTGAGTTACATGTAACCAGGCTTTTCAGAGATATTCTATTACACAAAGCAAGATACTCCTGAATATGTACAGTTGCTCTTTTGCAAAGGGCAACACTAGAAAATTATGCATTGCTACAGAGAGAGTGTCATCCTTAGCCATAATATTTATCTCCTTAGAATGAAGAGATATACTTTGATATTAAAAGCACTCCCAAGGTAGCAATTTTGAAGCCAAAAAGATAAATCAAAATATTTAGCAATTTTGTGTTTGTTTGTTATTAATACACATTGTTCTGTTAAGGCTTCCCTTTTGGTAGGACTATGGCAGACTGAGGAATGAGCGGCTGTTCATGCATGACTCCATATGGCAAAAAGAACCATGTTCAAGGGGGTAAAATTAAGCCATCTGTCGCTATGTTCATTTTATTCTATTAAACTGATACTTTTAATGGTAAGTCATTAAGATACATAAACAGATTTTCCCTTTGTTAGATGTCCTCTTCATTTAAAAAAATGTATTTAACTTGCAAAGTTTGCAAAGTCATTTGCATTTTTTATTTTTTGATGGATTTTCATGATCATACAGCTGCTTCTCCTTCAAAAGCAAAATGCAATACTAATACATGCTACCAATTCTATATCTGTTTCTTTCCATAGAAAAGGTGAAAATGTCATTACAGGCTTTTACATGGTTTTTCTTCCAATTTGTTTCTGTTAAATTCTAGAAATAAACAATAAAAGATAAAATTATTAATTCCTGGTTCATTACCAAAGTGATGAAGTTGTCACTGCTGAGAATTGTTTAAGGGACCTAATGCATGCAAGGCTATGTTTTTTAAATAAAGTTTATTAGAACCAACACAAAGTAGGCATTCAATAAAAAACAAGTTGAATGAATAAATGGAGGAGCAAATGAATTAGAACAATGGTTCCTAAATTCAACTCTCAGTTTTCCCTTATTCTTGATACTTGTATCTTTTTTTTTTTTTTTTTTTTTGAGACGGAGTTTCGCTCTTGTTACCCAGGCTGGAGTGCAATGGTGCGATCTCGGCTCACCGCAACCTCCGCCTCCTGGGTTCAGGCAATTCTCCTGCCTCAGCCTCCTGAGTAGCTGGGATTATAGGCACGAGCCACCATGCCCAGCTAATTTTTTGTATTTTTAGTAGAGACGGGGTTTCACCATGTTGACCAGGTTTGTCTCGAACTCTCGACTTTGTGATCCACCCGCCTCGGCCTCCCAAAGTGCTGGGATTACAGGCTTGAGCCACCGCGCCCGGCCTTCTTTTTTTTCTTTTTGAGATGGAGTTTTGCTCTTGTCACCCAGGCTGGTGTACAAAATGGCACAATCTCACCTCTCTGCAATCTCTGCTTCCCAGGTTCAAGTGATTCTCCTGCCTCAACCTCCCAAGTAGCTGGGAGTACAGGCACGTGTCATCATGCCCAGCTAATTTTGTATTTTTAGTAGAGATGGTATTTCACCATGTTGGTCAGGCTTATCTTGAACTCCTGACCTCAAATGATCCACCCTCCTTGGTCTCCCAAAGTGCCAGATTACAGGCATGAGCTACAGTGAGCCACCTGCACCATTCTATAAGCAGCAGAGTAGACTTTGAATAGTTGTAAATAGATATTTTACACTCTAGGGCAACCATTAAAAAGTTTTAAAAGAAGTATAATTGATATGTGTTATATTTGGAATAGAATCCCCCAAAAATTCGTAAGTTGAGTTTTTTACCTAACCTTCAGTACCTCAGAATTTGACTACATTAGCAGATAGAGTATTTAAAAAGGCAATTATGTTAAATTGAGAGCATTAGGGTGAGTGCCAATTTCATATGACTGATGTCCTTAGAAGAAGACATTTGGACACATGAACAGACACAAGGGATGTGCGCATAGAGAGGAGAGACCATGTGGGGACACAGCAAGACGGCAGCCATCTGCAAACAAGGAGAAAGACCTCAGAAGAAACCAACCCTGCCAACATCTTGATTTTGGACTTCTAGCCTCCAGAAATGTGAGAAAATAAATTTCACTTGTTTAAACTACCCAGTCTACAGTATTTTGTTATGATAGCCTTAGCAATCAAATACTAAAGAGGGGAGAGAAAAAGGAATCATTTAAAATGTTCCGTTAAAACCAGAGAAAGCAGCAAAAGAGAGAAAGACAAAAAAAAAAAAAAAAAGCAAAGAACAAGGGTAATAAATAGAAAACAGTAACAA